GTAGCTACTTGATGGCTATTTTAAAACCTCCCCTCTGGTGATGATACAACTTAAGCCTTCTCCTTTGAATCTGTACATACGATACTGATCTTGGCAAGTGGTGGCATAGGCTGAGGAGTGGACCGCTCAAAACGAGGAGACATCGTCGGTCACGGCCGGATAGCATTTTCCGTTCCCCAAAAGCACCGTCCTGCTTCCGTCGAGACCTCAATCAACGGCTTATTAAAAAGTAATCTTTCATTAAGTCTGAAGCCGGGAAGAGGTGAAACATACTAACACAAAGCACTTGCAAACTAAATTTTGCCAATTTTGAGTCATAGATGTACCAGTCAAGTTTTTTGACATATATCATGTATATATATCATGACTAGCGACTCGACTTGGACTCGAGTCGCTATTTTTGTGGCTCGTGACTTAACTTATAAGTATTAGTTGTTGGCTTGTGACTTGACTTGGAGTTGCACTTTATGACTTATTACCAACGCAAGTTACAAAACTACTCAATCAGACCCACTGAAGTTTTAAATTACGCCTATCAACTTACGCCTTGGGTTCTTAAAATAATCAGGGTAAGACTTCGTTCGGCTTTCTATTTTGGTCTTGTCTGCCCAAGGCCACGTCTAAATCACTTGGCTGTGGCTTGAAATCATACATCGCGCGATTTGACTCGTATTTGGACAAAAAGACTTTTGACCTGCTTGTGTATAAACCAAATTGACTTGTGACTTGATTTGACCTGTGATCAAAGGACTTGTGACTTGATTGGTGACTTGGCTTGGACTTGCAAAAATTGACTTGCTACCACATCTTAGTATTACAACTTCCATCTTGAGTTCAGATAAGCAGCTTATGAAATTAATTGGTTTTGTCATGATGTAAACAAAATGCAGTCATTTTAATAGCAAACACAGTTCGTATGTACAACTTGCTTTTGATATCCCCCATGTGCCCCAGTCTATGCTTTGAGTGATTAACCCTATGCCAAACAAGATTCGATTGGAACAGTACACGTGAAATCGCATACAAGATTTCCCCACGAGATAATTCATTATGAACGATTTTTATGAAGCCCACCCCCATTTTTTGCAGCGTCGAATTTGGAGCGTCGTATTCCCAATTCCAGTCGTCTGCGTCGGACGTTTGGTGTCGTTCTGTCGGCGTGTCATCTGACACGTCTCCCTAATATCCTATCGATCCAACTGTCAGGCAGAATGCCAAACTGCTCAACATTTTTCTCGCAGGCGGAAACACCCTGAGGGTTACTGGCCGCATCAGTGAAGTAACATCGACAGGCGGTTAGCCCTTTATATCTGCACCAGAATTTGAAGCCCTAGCCTGAAGACGTTAATTACCTCGGTGTACACAGTTTAAAACGATTACCATTTTTAATGTGTCCGATTTATCCAATTAAAGATTTCAGAAAATCTCAGACACTAATTTTAATTACCGGTGTGTAGTCAATAAAAGGTGTCTATTCTTCTGACAAATAGGTTTTGGTTTCTTCAATTTGGAAACCTTCAAGAATTCTAGTATTGAGATCAGTTATATTGCGTGTCTGTAATCATTCTTACTTATTTTTAAATTTTCGATTATCAAAGAATACGCAAAGTGAGAGATGACAAATTTATACAAATTGTGTATAATTTGGTGATAGCTGTGTCATATTTTGTTCAATGCAAGAAGAAAATATTGAAATTATATTCAGTCGCGTTGACTGTATTCTCATCACAGTACATCCCAGCTACATAACCCATTATAACAGACAAACGTCTTCTTCATCTGTGTGGTCTTGAGTAACGTCAATAAGAAAAACCACACAAAGCCACAACTTTCAAAATCAATTCAGCTGTGCGATGCGATTTGAATACTGACATTAATAGCCTGCGAAGTTTCTGCCAAGGGAGTACGTGTGTGGATGTTTTCATTGCAAGTTATACGAGGTATTTAAGTACAGCGCCATTGACATTCAATCAGAATGGAGGATGGCTATTTATGAACTGAGACAGGTGAACAACCTTCCGAGAGAAGTCTCGAAACCTCCCGGAGAGATAACTAGTGGCAGCTGATCAGGTTGAACCAAACTGAAGCTAGCCCCAGACTGTTCAAGTGTGTTGCTATGGGAATTTCTGCCGTCCAACCGATGCACTTGACATTTTATGGGTGTCATCAGCAATCATTGAATTCCTTGCGTCCAGGAGATCAAGGAAGATAAGAGAGGTGTGCTAACGCAGCGTCACGCACTTAATCTCTGGGCTCAGTTTGCCCTCAAATGCAATGCACATGTTTCTTACTTTGCCTTCAGTGCAATGCTCAAGAACCCTCTAACAGTCTGTATGCGTGCGAGGATTACTCATGTGAATATTTCTCGTTATGTGCATAGTTAGGCGGACTGGGGTCGAGGTAAGTCTAGAGCTTCACTTTGCACATTGACCAGCGCAAGGCCAGGCTACTCAAGACTGACTCAGACCGTGCTCAAATGTTTTATTGCAGTTGCCATGCTCCACGGCGCCGGAGTGTTTTAAGGGATCTCTTTACTAGCTCCAAGTGGCAGACAAGAGGAGGGTATTTGCCTTGTCTGCCTGACCTCTCTTGCTGCTATCGTCTAACCCAGTGAGAGATGGACAAACATGACACTGGTGCCAAAGAATATGTAGATGCTATCGTAGCAGCACGTTTTCCGATAATCCATTCAGCTTCTACTGAGAGTGTACTTTTAAGGTTGAGACACCGGATGAGAGAGAAATTCCTGAAATTAAACGGAATTCTTAATCGTACGACAAATTGAAGTTCCAGTTCAAAATATCCTTCTGATTGTAACAATTATTTGGATCGCTGGTGTTTATAAATTGGCAGATCATCGGCCGAAACCGCCGAAAGATCGAGCGAGTCGCCCCCTGGGAATGAAGCAGCGATTCGCTTCACTATCAGAAGCAGCAGTGTAGTGCATTGCCAATTATGGAAGCGGAGAGCATATGAATTGCAACATGCAGAAAACATATCACAGCCTCAAGGGTAACGAATGCGATTACCATGCAACAAGGCAGATGAATGATAATAGATACACACGTGTTATTCGTTTGACACAGGGTTACCCCGACAGACCAACGGTGGACTGCATTCAAAGGAAGACTTCCGGTGCGTACCGACAGGGTTTTGAGTGCCCGTTGGCAGATGAAATTTTCTTCTCGTTTTAACATGTTCAGATAATTACAAAATAGGAGATGAAGAAAGTAGTAGGATAGCTGGAGTGGATCCATAAGGGGTGCACCGGAGGCCCCCATTCAGAGCTGTATAAAGAGAGAACTTTTAGACTTTGGAATCCAAATGGCCGGTCATTAAGTGTGCAGTACAGCACGCAGTTAATGTGTGCTAACTGTCCGTGTCACTGCCGCATAATCTACCATTTTTGTTCCAACAATTGAGACACTCATGTCGCAACTTTCTCTATAAACTTGTTACATACTCAGTGCTCGCGGGCCAACACACATCCGGCCATAACAAACTTAAACTATGATTTTGAGACGAAGATCTTGGGACCCAAGTGGTCTGAAAAAGCATATTACTTTATACTGTAACTCTAGAGACAGAATAATCAGTATTAACAATGCGCAGCTTATATTTTCGGGTTCACCTCCATTTTGCACCTTCTTTCTTCTGTAAATGACGCGTGCCCCGCATTTTTGTAAAGGATGGATTCGCCATAATAGTGTATTATGTTTGGAAGTATTTTGTGTCCGACAGTATTCAGTGCTTTCACATCTGTTAAACCATCTCGGTTGTGCATTTATGATGCACATGGACCTTCATCATGATTTTACATTACAGTGCCCGTTCAGTTCCACTTCCTTGCAGCGTTTTGATTTTACCCTTAAAATCTCCAGTCCGTTACATTCCTACAGCTATGCTCCCCATCTCTTGGCCGAGCAACACTGGAACATCTTAAATGAATGTTCTCGGATCACACACCTGCTCTTACGGTATGCATATTACTCTCTAATAAAACAGGTGCCGTATTTCTATCAGGTTAGAGTTTCTGTTAGCCTAATTTGCTATTTTGGGGTTTTGAGACCTTCCACATGGTGAAAAAAGTGGTATTGCAACGACTGCAGCAGAGGAATGCTCCTTCACCAATTTTTTTTTTTTTTTTTTTTTTTTTACACAGGAATGCGTCGAAGTGGGTTGGGGGGTGTATCAAATGACTTTGTAAATATCACACCCCTCCCCGCCAAGCTCAGAATTCTCCTTGTCAAAGGTACCAGTTTGCCACATAAAAACAGACGTCACAAAAACTGAACTTCCGGTACCAACGTGAAATTACATAGCGAATACACTAAACGCTATCAGAATACTACATCTCAGAAAGTTGACCCATGTATGCGTATCGTATTATATCGGACTGAGTTGAACAGGTTGCCGGTTTCTAAGATAGTTTGTGACTCTTTCCAGTTGTTTGCAACTGTCTGTAATCCACAGAAATCAGTCTGAGATCCGCAGGTGTTATCTCACTCTAATTCTCATTAAGATGAGAAAGTCTGTGTGGTGAAATGAGCAATATGAATAAGTTTGCGGTAGCGCACGCGACTGCGGCCATTCTAAAGCTCTCACTAGACACTTATGTACCCTAAAAGAGCACTGTTCACATGATGCAACCACATACCCTTTCAAATTGGTTATAACTACTACTTTTTCATTATTGGTGGATTCACTGATCGATCAATCCTTGACTGCCCGAAGAAGGGCTTACGGAATGTCCCAAAGCTGTAAACGCCTCAGAAACTGCGTCATGCAGTCTTTACAGAGGTTGTTTTATTTTTCTATTTCGTTTTCAATCCCTTGTCTCTATTTCCATTTTGTAAATGATAATATGAACTGATTCTGTATATTTAGCTTTACAAATCGTGTTTTGGATCCCTCTAGCTGGGACAGAATTAGTCTTTTTTCTTTTACAAGACAACTCCAACAAAACAAGCAGGATAACTAAAAAACTCAGACCCCAAGTTATTTTTTAATTTACATACGTTTGCAGCTTTTTAACATAATTATCGTTAAGAGGGTGAAACTGCGTGGAAAAGTACATGCAATTTATCGGAGTGTTCGTCTCAAATTCTTAGCCACATGTCACAAGGTTCTAAAGTGGGCCATTATGTGGCGATATTTAGATATCCATCAGGGGAGATAACAGGAAAATCTCTTATAACAGTTTTAAAAAGTAATTCCTCGTGTCTGCACCGTATCCTGACACCCTCCCTTTGTTGTGTTTTCGACGTAAGGGGCAACGTTCAGAACGTCTCTGTCACATTTGCCTCAGTCTCAACTCATGACCTTAAAACACTTTTAAGATGGCAGTGAAAAGGCAGGAAATGTTCGACTGGACGTATTTTTTATATACTGCTGTTCAGAAAAGATGATTCAGAATGACGCACCCTTGAGAACTGAAAACCTACATGGCGGATGGGGGGGTGGTTAAAAATGAGAGCAAGGAGTTTTTTTGTCTGTATCATTTCCCATTCGTCCAAAAGTGTGAAAAGCTCCCAAATGTAGCCCCAAACCCTACAAAGGCCATAAAAGGTTACGCCATGAACCACTTTTCTTGCCCTCCCCAAACCAGGTTTGGTCTCCCCGAACTTCGGTTCTAAGCCTGCCCTTGTTAACTTGTTTAATCTGAGTGCCTTGATCGGCATCTTTCCTCTAACAGTGCTGACCCTGTTACCCTGAGTAAAAGTATCCTTTCAAGGACCGCCATTAACTCAATACGTGACTCCATCAGCGGGTATGAAGGAAGCATACCGATGAGAGTCCGTGCTACAGATGCCTCATAGCGCGTTAGCCTGGGTAATTTGCCTGTGACGAGTAGACAACAACACGAAAATAGGTAATTAGCCTACGAGAATCATGAAAATCGTGGGTTTCCCTCGGATTTTTACAACCTCCATCTTTGAATGTTCCCTTCCACCGAATGACTCTATATACAATGTCCTCTTCGCGTTTCGTTTTTCGAGATGAGTCTCAGGTGACGCATAATGCTCTCTTGAAGGATAAATTACAGTCGTAAAGAGAGGCAGCGGTCGAGCAGGGAATTATTATCCATGCTCAATCTCACAGATGAAAAACGTATAATAGCTGTGGAGATGGGTCTTTCGATAGAGGGCGCGTATGCTGTGCTATCCAAGGAAAGTTCGAGGGCAAACTACAGTTCAAACACGGTTTTATAGCTCCTTATAAAATGCGCATGTGCAACAGTGCCACGCTGGCACCAATCTTGTTATCCAGCCAATGGTTGTATCTCTTGCTGGTGTCCATGCGTTCGAGATCTCTCGATCCTCCTTAAAGGAACAAGCCCTGCAAGAGGGCTACCGCCCAAAAGTCTCATAGTGCCCCCACGCCTGGTTTTGAATTGTCGATTAACTATTAGATCGAAGTTAGTCGGACTATGGCAACATAGTCGTCTCTCAAACTTGTCCTGTGTAAGCACCCACCTCCGAGAACACGATCACCGTAAAGCTAGACCACGAGGAGATTCTCCGCAGCCCAAAATTGACGGTTGTTGCGTTGTTTTGGGATTTTCCTGAAAGTGCCTTCTCTTGTGCTACAGATTTGTCTGTATAGAAAAAGATCTCTTCCTGTTTACCAAGACAAAGAATTTGTTGAGTGGGAACTAAACTTTGTGAACCCTTACTGTAATGTAAATTGGAGATACTGAATTTGCTCGTCTATACCATTCGTACAGGCATCTGGAAAGGGTGATTTCTGCATAACAGTTTCTTCGAGTCCGGATGGAATTCTATGAGATAACGCGGGTCGATGTCTACGGGGCGAACACTGTAACATATGCGCGCAGAATTTACAGGTAGGTGTATCGAATGTTTTGCAAAGCTTGATCTTAATCCAATACTTTGCATTGGCCCGTCCCAGCGCCCTGTAAGAGTTGTGGAGACGAGCATAATTGTGGAGGCGCAAGTACAGGTAATTCCACAAGACTAGTTTGAGGCTCAATTTGTTTCGCGTCCCTGTAACATCTGATATATGATTCTATAAGTTCAGAACATTCTTTAATTTCCAAGAGTGATTAAGGAATGCAAATATAACTTTATAGGCAATAAATTATTGATTTGTGTAGGTCTGCTGACGTTGAGCAAAAATCACAGTCCACACCTAGTGTGGGCTGTTGAAAATAACAATCACACGTACACCCATAATGTGTTTTCTCGAATAAGTGCATGCATTTAGGGAAAGCTCGACAATTTTGAAACTGTCGGTGGCGTACACGTTTCTATTTGTCTTTACAGTGCAGCTGTACATGAGATGGATCTGATTAACGATGAATATTCTCCTGCACCATTGCCGTGTACATTGCCATCAGTTTCCAGAGGGGTCAAGTGGACTCCGCTCCATCACTTACCTGTGATTTAATTTGTCTTCTCTAACTCCAGGCGACTGTCTCGAATCTGATCGGGACACGCCGTGTTTACCGTTCATCCGACCGCCAACAATTTACCGTTGAAACGGCATTTCGTGCCATCCATTGAAATAGCCTAATCCAGTTCTTAGCAAGTCAACAAAACGGGAAGTGTAAGTTTTAAATATCGAATTCAGCAAAATTTATCTCTTCAAGGGTCAAACCGTTGATGTCCTCCACGTCTTGCGTAGCCCTATACAGGAGAAAGACAGAATAATGATTTTGTCTGCGGGAGCGGGGCCTCACGAACAATTCCCTGAGTGGCAATCATCCTCTGGCATTCTTGAAGTAAAACCTACCACAGGTGATGGATAGAAATAACTCCACGATAATTCAAAATTAATTCTAATATCATGCAACTTTGGATCATCAAAAGTTGATCTCAGTTGATACATCGTTCTCATATTAGCTGGTTCAAGATGAATCGAGGAAAGCCTTATTTAATCGGTGCGGCTCTCATCAACCATATTTGTCGACCTAACAGTGAGACCAACTTCAATATTTGTCCCCAAATTCTGGTTGTCACATAGTTACCCCCTAAATCTCCCTTTCAGCAATGCTGCGACACATGCCTGTTACACGGTTACATCAGTGTCCCGTGGTCACGTATATAGCATGATATCAGCTCTGCAAAGATACACACACTTTAAAGATGTCATCTACTTAAGAAGGCGGAGCTGGCTGTGTCCACTTTGTAGGCGTTTACTCCGAACCCCAGAGGGATCGAACCGATTCACCAACTCATCAGTGAGTGTATATGGCACACTGCTTTTGCATGGCCAAGCCAGCAGGCACAGACCATTCCACTTATGTATTAACACAGACTGAATAATCGATGACATCAGACGGAAATATATAGAAAGGTTTGAAGCTCTTAAAAGTAGGCTTGGTAATTTAAACATTTTCAAATTAGTGACTGCATGTTTGTTTCATGCTTAACGAACCCAATGAATTTTTCTATATTACTTGATTGTGGCTCATTAACATCGTCGAGTGATTTTGCACTCATTTGTAACTTTAATGTATCCGGCCATGTTAATTTCAAATCTAAATGGTTAGAGTTTATTCAACATTTTAACTAACGTTGGGTCAAATATCATTTGGTCCAAAAATTGGCAAAACGGTTACCAACATTGTTGAGCAACATGATTGTGCAATTATTGGGTAGAAATTTGACAAATTAGTTGGTAAACTCTTGCTCAAAAATTGGGTTATAAACATTAACCAAATGTGTTGGGCCAATTTTTGTTCAAAGTATAGGTTCAAAATTACTCAACAATGTAGACACTTGATATTTGACCCAATATTGGGTAACAATGTTGGTTAAAAGCCTTTACCCAACAAATTCACCAACTCCCGGTCAATCACATATTAAACGGAATTGTCAAAAACCTTTATCATTTTTGGTTTCATTTCTATTCATATATAGCACATATTATACATATAGCATACATATAGCATACATTGGTAAATGACTTCACTGAAAAGCTCTTGATTTTAAGTTACATGAATGTTCTCAATTGAAGTACAGGTATCAAGGCGGGATAAAATCTTTTAATCTACATTGTTTCAGCTTTACTTAATAAGCCCCTATTTTTTTTTACCTCAGACCAGCTAAGAGTTAATGTAATGGGCCCATCAATGTAAAGACGGGCTTTATTTAAATTTGGATTAGTATCTTTGCAGATAGAGACTGTACCAGAATACATTCAATTAATAACTTTAGTAAAACGTACCAGCATTTTGCTACTTTACCAACAATGAGCCCATGATAAAAATAGCACAGCTTAGTAAACCTAAAATTGGCTTGTTTAAGATTGCCAAAGATCATTTGGATCTTGCACAAACGTTTATACAGTGCTCAAACGGATATACATCCAACATGTCAATCACACTGGTTTTAAAACACTCGAGAACAAAGGAGATACTCAAGTCTTTAGAAACTTCTTTAGTAATTACTTGTATTTCTCAATTGTCGGCAACTTCGTATGGACCATGCCTAACAAAAGATCTTTACTCCTCAACAGGAACATAACTTACACCAAAACTAGGTATCCCATTAGGGTTGGTGTCAAGCATTTTGATATTGATGTGTAATTATTCCTCCAAGGGTTAATCACGTGTATGCTCCATAAACATTCAAACAACTATGTATGAATTGAGTTAGATAATTGACAAAATTACGTTTACACATGTCCAGTGCAGGTGAGATACGCTGGCACAGCCCCTCTCTCCTCTGTCACAAAAATGAGTTCCAATTTCGATACAATGTACAAACAGATGTGTATCATCTCCGGAAACAAATACCCACAAGATAAGGCATAATTTGCAACAAATGGGTTCATTTTAAGTAACCTTCATGATATTTAATTGCGACATTTATGCACACATATTTTGATGATGGTGATGTTGCCCCATGTTATGTCAGTCAATGTTTTCCTGATGATAACAGCATCACAGACATTAAATGGAGTTTCACATATACACATTACGGCCTATAAGGATCTCTACGCCAACATCTCCAAATGAGTGTTGAACACCCTCAAGCCTTCAGCATGTCTTGCATACAGCAGACGATTAGATAAAAAAGCTCAACATGAACTTGACCATCATAGTAAGCACCATTTTTACATGCTAACTCTGCACACTGCAAAATCTGTGGTGTTAAATTTTTAACACAAGTCTTTATTTTATTCTTTTGGAAAGGACATTTGTGTTACAGAGGGGTAAAAAATTCCTTAGGCATTGAAATTGAAAGGCAAACCAGTGTTGCACGATATTGGTTTTAAAGGTGTCTTACAGCGCATGTGTCTTTGAAAAGAAGCCTTCTGATTGGTCGATATAAAATTATGGGCGCTATCTGCTTTAGATATTTCTCATTGAACGTTACGTGCCTGTGTGCTAAATATCCCGTCTTTATTGTTTATTCAACCTTACTATCTGACAAATGTGTGACCAAATAGTGTGCTAAGATGCCCATTGTGGAAGCGGGAGAAATCTTAGGAAGTTTAGGGCGATTTTGCAGAAGTTGTGGAACTTAGTTAGTGTTTAAAATGATTGATGTTCTTCAGACTTGAACTGTCATTCAAAAAGTTCACCCCGTCGAAGGACATGTCTGATAATGTCCCGCACAAGATATACGTTGATGCGCACGTGAGTATAGCTGAAACACGATAGGCACACAGCCTATGGGAAAAGAACGCCTGTAAAAAGACTCCATCCGAGCTAAAACTAAAAACAAATTATCTAAAGACCCAAACACAAGTTACATTTTACCACAGTCAGTAGACTTAATATTGGCATGCCATGTATCCAGTGTTTCCTCGTGAGGGCCAACTGCATGCATGTACGTAAACCTGGTTTATGTTTGTAAAAGCATATTTGAATGATGCGCTTCACTTTCGGAAAAAAAAAACACACCGTACATGTAAATTTCCGTGTCTACTCTTTTTTTTTTAGACGGGAACATTGAAAGTAAATCGTTCATACATTTCTTACATAGTTGCCAAATAATAGCCTTTTATGGGACTCTTTTCAGAAAAATACAAAGGCTTCATAATTTCCTGCCGCTTTAACAAAGGCCTACGCTGCATAGGGCCAGGCCCCCACACACTGTGGTAAATGTACATGCAATACATGTAACTGGTCTGTATTGGTCTGTTCTTTTAAAGTAGGTATCAAAACAGTTGGAAGATTACAAACCTCTCTGACTCATTCATTTATTTGCAATTCCCAGCGCCATAGGTTTCGACCGAAGATTTGTAAACGACGTTACCCTGGCAATAAACTCCAGTGAATCAGACAATACAAGCAGCCTTCCTCACCCAAATAAAGCAACAGTTGATTCTACTCAGTATGTCTCTCCAAAACATGTTCTTTGAAGTAGGTCCAATGGAGAGTTGTTGTGTGATATGTTTGAATTGAGAGCATTGCCAAAGTTATTTTATAATTCAGATTTGTTTAATTCCTTTTTTCTTCTTTATGGCAGAAGTAAAACAGAGTATCTGGTTGATTTGTAGGGTCAATGCAGCATGGCCACACAATGGATGGTTCTCATTCTAATTCTCGGCTAATGTACTGCAGGTGTAAGGTCAAGTACTATTTTAATATTTGATACCAAACCACTTGAAGATACCCTAAAAATAAAGAAACAGTTTTAAACAGCGAATTGAGGAAATTACTGTTGTACTTTTCCTGTAGAAAATAAAGGTTATTAAGTTGTTGTCAGCACACGAAGTGACCTTATTAACAATTTCTCATCGTTAATCACTGATAATACCCAGTGGATCTCTTCAAAACATGTTCTGTTAGGTAGTTCTAGAGGAGAGTGGTTATATAATGTGTTTTCATCGAGAGTATTACCTAAGTTTTTAAATTCTATAATGAATAGTTCTTTTATCCTATTTAAGTACATGCAGAACAGAAGTAAACCAGAACGGTTGATTGATTGGTATCTTTCTTTACAATATTGCCTATAAATTGTCATTACCTGGACGAAAACCAAACAATTACTCTTCGTTGAATATGACATGTTCCATGTTGCAATTTTAAACAGAAGCTTCCCATTACCGATTCATGGTTCAATTTATAAGCATCAAGTCTAAGGTCAAGCACTATTTTCAGTGGCTTTTGATACTGTGCCAAATTTTGCGAAGTTGCCAAGTAGTACCAAATCACTGTAATATACATGTATATTCAACAAATATAGCAATAATAATAAACAGTGTACTTTAGTAATCACAGCATTGCAGAAAAGGATAAAAAGTTTCTTCCAATTTGTCGTCAGCACACAAAGTGTTTTGTTGATGGTCAACCATTATCTTTAATTTGAAGTTTTTCAAAGTGTGATTCTACCCCGTATTTAACTCGCTGACATGTTCTTTTGCATTGAGCTACAATATCACTGAAGATGCTACTTGTATCACTCATCTTTTGGGGTACATTTAAAACATAACGTTGCTGATTAAGTGGTGCTAGTACGGTATGGACATGAGTGATTTACTATTGCTGTGTTCTATTTTAAAGTTTTTCCTAATGCTCTGTGTTTCATTGCATTTTCTGCAGCAGTGAATCTAAAAATTCTAGTGATATTATTCGGAATTATGATTTTGTTCTAAAATTTGTTTATATTTCAAATCATACTTAGCACAAAATATGATCAAGTTAAATGTCCTGTTGTCAATGGTTTTGTTATTTGAAATTCAAGCTCTATGTATAATTTTTTAATTTCCAGGTATGACCACTAAGAATAAGATGACACCATTCCCGGTATTTAAATTAACACCAGTAGTGTGGCTTCTTGTAATGCCAAATAACAGTATTACTTAACACCAAATTCCTTGCCCAAAATAAACACCATTTTTGAATTGCCTTACTCCCGTATTTCAGTTGTTGTTAAAGTCAAACACCAAAAACTGGTGTTATTTAACACCAAAAGCCTTGCCAAAAATGAACACCAATTTGGAATAAGTGCATTCCCCCTTTGGTGATAAAAGTAAAAAGAATTTTCCTCTGTTGTTCTGTTTTGGAAGATCAATGGACTTTAGCTACATGTAGTGCTAAATACCCCGTTTCCTTTCTCCCGGTAGGGAAGATTAAAGACGTGTATTCTCTGGCTCTAATTCTACAAGATGCAATCTAAATATGCCTCCTCAAGGGGTCTGTGTTCTTGGAGTATTAGAGGTTAAAAACATCTTGAGAAGTTTTTCAATCATGCCTATCATCATAAGCTCCCAATTTTGCTCAATCTGGAAACTTCAGCAAAGATTGTGATATTTACGCTTGAGAATGACAAATTAGAAAATACACACCTTCTCATGCAGCATTAGAAGTTGGATACCGAGTGAGGGGAAGATAAAACAAGATTCCTGTTAGTCAGAAATGCTGAGGCAGAGCAAGTCCATTTTCAGTTGCTCATCAGTGTCCACATTAAATTAACCATAATCCCTGAGCAAACAAAAGGTCTATTTGAAGGTTCATAGCATGGCTCGGAAAAGATACCTTGTCTTTAATGGCAATGTGATTCTTGTTTGTGTTGCGATTTCCAAGCTTTGCACTTGCGACTGCCATATGTAGCCCTGCCCTAGCCTGTACGTGCATATTGGTTTATGCAATTTATATGGCGATGAGTTCTGTAAGCCTATCCAGTGTATTAGAAAATATTTCCCATGCTTCTACTTTTTATACGAGGCACAGCCTATATGAAGCGAAAAGACAAAATGCATTTATGAGACTTATACGTATCGATTGTCCTGCAATGAATCAAAACTTTGTCACACAAACCAGTAAAGTAGTCGGCCAATACCATGTGATTATAATGTGCAGCACACACAATGAATGCATCATCATGCAATGAGGTGACGCAATGTGCTTACGGTTTTCATGAAGAACAATAACACTGAAAAAACTTGCTCAGACAGTTCTTTGGCTACTTGAAACCTCATTTGGAGTTAACGCATTACCTGAGAATGTTTTCCAGATTTCATCTTCGATACGTTTGGAGAGTCTTGTCGACTCTGTGACTGTCATCGTGCAAAAAAAAAAAAACAATAGCACTGCAGACGCCGGCGGGAGTTTTGCTTGGCTGCACTGGTCAAAAATTACTAGACTTGATCCAAGTCACGCGGGTAGTGATGCAAGCGCCGACTTTCACCAATATATGCAATAGCAATTTAATCAATTATCACTCCTAAAATAAGAGCAATATCAACAGTACCATGGATTATTTTTTGAAGGTTTTGTGTGTAGGAAAACTGTGTTTAAATTCCCTTGTGAAACGAGACCTCAGGGCAAGTTTATTCCCAACACTTGTATTTGCAATGACCAATTATTGGGTAATATCACAGAGAACTATTCTTTGACCAATATTTGGGCAAAAAAGATTAGCACGTGCCAATCCGTATTGGCTAATAAATAAATTGACTAACTGATAAGTATGATTTGTCCAACATCACCATTGACCAATAAGTTTGCAGTATACGTACTCGCAATTCAACTTTTAAATACACCAGCAAAAGAAATGCTGATTTTATTTCATACATAAAAGACTCATGAAAACGTATCATGCTTGCTTGATTCCTTTATGAAACTCCTTGTTATACATCACATGCCCATTTTTGTCGGCAATCAATGGCGTGTAAATAGCTGTGTCAAAGACTCATTCTATTCTGGAGACTTTGCTGTTCCTTTTCTTTTCTCTCAATTTATTGTGTTAAATGCTTTTCTTATTAAAGTCACTTGTCTTTTTACTCTTACATGATATTATAGTGTAACGGCATCGAACTATAAACGAATTCGGGGCAGGGAAGTAATAAAAGTCTTCGATTTCTCCAGAACCCTATGCTGTCAGGTCAAATAATTTTACCGACTGTAATATAACACTCGTTTTTCTCGCCTTTAGTTGCTCGTTAATTTTCTATTCACTATATGTGTCAATGCACATTTAAATGTTTGTTATATTGTCCATGATATGTCAACTATTGTTAATGTCAGCACGAATAAATTAAAAAAGGTGACAATCTCCTAAAGAAAGAGGAGGATCAGCCACAAAATAAAAAGTTGGCAACTTGAACCTTTTCAAAAAGCGGACACTGATTGAAGCAAAATGCCAACATTTGAAAGGTGGACGTAATTTGTTATCGTATTACGTGAGATAGGAGCCGCGATAAGCACGTACGGCTTTAGTCGATAGCGCGTTGTAATGCGTGTTTTTTCTCTTTGATAAAACAAACTTAAAGGTTTCAATTTTGGGCAGGGAATTAAGTAACCGTTAAAACTTATCTTTTCCGTCAGGGAACACACTGCGAGGAAAACGTTGAAACGCACTTTCCAGGAATCGACCATCGGACCCCTTCCACTCCATTCAATTTCTCTTCCCCACTGCTCGACTCAGCTTAACTGACATCCTCTTTTTTTTTTGTTCTTTTGTGGGCCTACCCATGAGCCAACATAATGCTGCAGAAAATGTTAAATAATTCACGTGCTTATGATAATTTATTACAGGCGTGCCTCGTACGGTGGCATTTTGTTATAGAAGCCACGTTTGTGAAATCAGATCGAGTGGCGTGAAAGACATGCTGGGCAATTATCATTGTCACTTACCTGCGACGGCAATTTCAGTGACAAGGACTACCACCACAGCGAAAAAAAAATAGTAAAGACAGGAACGACAGCGTAGCAATAGCAAGAACACTGTAGACAGAAGAACCTCAGCATTTCACTGGTTCGCCTGATGCTGTCATTTCTCAGAACGGCTTGTTCCTGTTTATCAATGTCGATACAAGGACAAAAAGAACACGAAGAGCGGAGATACATAAGAGAAATGTCCGATGCACTTAGGAAGGAACCATATTTCACATGGTTAATAATAACGACGTTGATATATGTTGTCCATTTCGTTTCATGATTTCGTCTCTTTATGCTGAATGACTCAGTCAAATGATGGATGTGTGTCCGGTTCAACAAGTCGCGCCATTTCCTCTTATTAAGAAGCTACTCGATTGTCTATAAGCCGGCGGAGGACTCATCCTAAACTTCGTATAACATCATTATCTTCCAATTTAGGGGATCTGCAAAGACTGCAACTTGAGGTCGAGGAGAATTTTCGTCAAGGGGATGACCCTGGAGATACCCCCATTCAACCGAATCAGCGAGGAAACAACCGTGGATACTGGCAGTTTGACGGGGGGAACGTTTGTGTTGTATGCTGCAGTAAAAGATGGAGGTTGTTATCGTAAATGTTTTACTAAAATCCTTGAAATTGCACATTTGTATTGCAATTAACCCGGTTGTCATTTTTTGTTTTGCTAGTCTATGTATTTGAGGGCCTTTTCAGTTTTTATGCATACTCATGAGCAAAACTATTATGTAATCCCAGGCAGCCTCAATTTTGCACAAATCTGCTCGACTTTTTATACTTTGCCATCAAAAGTTTGCATTTCCTTTGACAATTTATTGTTATATAAGAATGCGGCAATAAGCAAGTGTGTAACCTTTTATTAGAATTTTTTTCAACGAGCAAATTTGAGGTTCAACATTTGAACGTGAAAACATGCAAAATAAATTGAGTCTTTCTGGATGACATTACACAAACAGCACTTCATTTCTCTGGAGAAGCCTGGTCAATTTTGAAAGTTTACAAAGTGCTCTGCACATTTCACTTAACTCAAAAAAGTTTTATATTCCATGCAAAAAGAGTTTAAACATGCACAGAAACGATTCTTAGAAAAGATCACCGCATTTTTTCTTTTAAGATCTCAATGTCAAAGCAGCGCATTGTCGCAATAATAGTGACAAACTTGAAGGCCACAGGAATTTCTCCCTGAAATTCACCATCCATGGGAAAAATCGGAAAGTAGAATGACCAGGGTCTGGACTTCAGTGATATTTCAGGCGATACAACTTTTTGATTCATTACGCCCCCTCTTGGCACTGTGTGTGATTAAATTTTTAGCAAATTAACTGCAAAATATTTCGTTCAATCCTCATGTATATTTTCCCCTATATCATATACTTTTTGACGGGGGACTGATTTCGATGTTGGTCAGTGGTCTTTGAATTCTCCAAACCATCCAATTGCTACTCCCATGTGCAATATAATTTTCAAAATTGGAACACACAGAAAAGACTTTCAATTTTGGATAAAAAGAAAATTCCTTCACAGATCGCGGCCTCATTTCTGTTTATGCTTGCCCAGTTGATTTACTTCGAATTACAAGCGCAAAGAATCTGCGCGTCTCATGGGAATGGTTCTAGTGGTGATAAAAGTGACCGTTGCACCTGCTCCTAGCCCGAAGCACCCCGCTGTAGACAAGGCACATCCACAGTTCATAAACAGGTTGGAACATAGATATTGAGTCGATGTTGAAAGGACGGCACGTTTCAATGATTTTACCCTCAAAAGAATAAAATCAAAAGCATTATAGTACTTATTTTGTTGGGAAAAAATATGCGACCTGCTCGGATCCGCAAAAAGGGTATTAAGGGACGCTGTACTATTTCATGGCTTTTCTATGCTGATATGGGGATTTTTTTACTTGTTGATTTATTGGTTTCTGTGATAAACCTAACAGTTACAGTGGATATTCAGGCGACTTTCTTCTTGGCTGATTTCTTTTTCCACTTCCTGCGTTTAAAGGGCTTTATCTCTGAAAGTACTTCTGTTGATATTGTGTATGATTCAGTGCATCTCAAGATTGCGAAATGCCACAGGGTTCAAAACTTATACACTAAGTTTAAGCTTATAATGTAATTAATTCAATTGTGTACATAATTCGTTTTGAAAAAAAATTATCCCTTAAGACCCATTTTTGTGGACCCGTCACTTATTTGCTGCAGCGTAGCATTATGCCCGAGGAGGACATTCTGTCCGAGGAATTTTCATCAGCTGGGGTAATTCAACAATGTGCTCACCGGCTCAGAGCCAACGACTGACTGATGAATCACATGCATGACCTAATAATGTAAAGTCTGACGCTGTCCTCCATCATCGGCGCACTCCTGCAACAGGATGGGGGGTCTGTGATTAAAATCTTGCCCACTCATGGCCCCGCGTTGTCTCCACTCTCCTTCGTGTCAACACTCTGCTTAGGACTGAGAATAACAAATGACCTACAAGGCTCCGAGTTCTTTATCTCGTTTCAGCCATCATCTTTCAGAGGAGTCGAGCTCTGAAAATGTAATTCTGTCCGTAAAATTGACTTTGGGTGGTTTAATCCTTTTATCTTTGCGCTAAGATCGTGTTCTGTCGTCACCATCACTTACGGGTGTACGCTAATCATCCTTTGCTATCGCAATAACCTAGATTGTCATTCTCAGAAACGTGGTAACAAACAAGTTGAAGGGAGAAGACTAAACGCAAGTGTACGCATATACAGACAGACGAGAGTTTATTAGTCTTTTGTTACCGGGAACACAAGACGAACGTGCATAAAAGGTTTTTTCTGTCAAAACGAACTAGTGTAAATTGTTCTAAAGATATCTCAAACGCACAAAAAGGGCACTGAAATGTATTTAAAACAGCCATGCATAATTAGGTTAAAACATTTCGTCTATGATTCGTTGCATCCAGTCTCGTCTCTTCACCTTCTCTCGTACGTCTTATTTTGGCAATCGCCGTTTCATTGTCTCGTCTGGTTTCTTGTCTTATCTTTCCTCGTTTTCAGGTGCATACCCTGTCTTGTCTCCTCTGGGCTCTCGTCTGACTTGGTCTAGTATCATGCTGTCTTAAGTCATTCACCACTGGCCTTGCCCTTGCTTTCGTTGTTAGATTCGGCCTCTTGATATATCTTCCATATCCGTTTCCTCTCACGCACGTTTCCTTTCTTGGATAGTGTTTTTTTTCTGTCTTATCCATTGTTGCAATGTCATGTTCGTTCTTTCATTACGTCTGCCTTTATTGCTGTGAATTATTTCATACACGTATATTACAGTAAATTTTTTCTATTTATAGTGTTCATTAATTATATTTTCCCATTTTTACATTTCCCGAAGTTAAGATACCATTTTAATGACTAATTTTCACTGTTGGTCCACTTCCCTTGACAGCCCCTACTCAATTATTTATATCAGAATTATACTTAGCTTGAAAGAAATTAAAGAAAATAAAGTGAGAAAAATTTGTTCGATTTTATCGTCTTCTGCAGTTGGGAATTTCACGTTCTAAACAGAATAGGAAATGCCACCTACCCAAGACGAAATTTACGGGCCTACTCCCCAAATTAATAACGCCTCGAAACTAGTACACGTCCTCAAACCTTCAATTGTTTAGTAACGTGTTCCTTTATAATTACATATACAAGTTTCTTCACAAGGCACTATCAAAAGGCTTCAGGGCTGTAGAATCTTTAGGAAGTGTGTTAAAATCCTGTGAAAGCCTCGGTAAGTTGAAGTCCAATGTGACACCGAACAGTCAGGAATCCGAGAGGTTACGATACATAGGGCGCCCTCTTGTAACTCATGGCGTCCAAAGCGCAATGCCTTACACTGGTACTGTGTGCTGTGATGTGGGGTACTTATTTAAAGAGCACCTCCAAGGAAAACATATTTTTTCTTATTTTATCTGTTTAAATAAATATGGAAGCATTCAAATCGAACACGGTGTCATTTGTCTTCAGAGCTCAACTGTAACAAACTAAAATGGGCTTTTTTCCTGTTCATGCCAAGATGCAAATTCTGAATGTAGAATAGATCGCGTCATTCGGAGAACACTGGCGAGGGGAACCCTCGGCCTGTGCTCGTTATATTAACCCAGCAAGAAATGAGACCGAGGGGTACCCCCAACATGTCCAATCCCTATACACAGTCCAGACTTTTGTTACTTAACACATCCCCCCAAGATGTCTGAAAGGAATTCCCCAGATTCCTTTGAGATGATGACCAACACAAAGCAGATGGGGGGGGGGTTCCTCTCCGTCTCATACCTTGCTGCATATGGTGCTCGTAGTAGATAAACTCTTGCGCATGCCAAACTTGGCTACATGCACTGTCAAACAATGGTTACATGCATTGTTTGGCATGCACAAGGTTTATCCACTCCGAACACAGAGCGGGTTCCCCTCGTTTTCTCTGAATGACGCAATCTTCATTCAGAATTTGCATCTTGGCATGAACACAAAAAACCCCCTTTTCAGCTTGTTATAGTTGAGCTCTGAAGACATTGTGACATATTTATTTGAACAGATAAAACCGGAGAAAACATGTTTTTCTTAGAGGTGCTCTTTAATGGCTAAAACTCCTACTCCATACAGGTGCACTGCGGTGGCGTATTCCAGTTTTGTGTAAGGGGATAATTTTTCTCTAAAACCAATTGACCAACTGTCCAATTCATGCCCCAACCGAACGGTGCTTACAAAGTATTGATGTTTTCAATTTCAAACTAATATGTTCCAGAAGGGTAACTTCCTCCCCTCGGGCTGGATACGTGGACCATTAGAAAAACACATTTCCTCATTTACATGTAACACATCAACTATGCAGGGAGTATCCGGAGAGGAGGGATCAAGTCTGCCCCGCCTCCAGTCACAGAATTTAGCGTGGTTCCAGACATAAATGGTCGAGTACCGGGTAAGCGAATACAATGCACAGCCCAAAGACACCCATACTGAAGCCCAAAAACAAAGCAAACACCAATGGTTTGAATATTCAAATTGTTGTACTAGCGTCTGTATACGAAAATGAGACGCGCTGAAACTGTCCAGTGCATAAAATGCAGAGAGAGAGAGAGAGTCGGACGCGAAACCAACACGAATAGGCCAATGCAAGACGTCATCTTTACTCATTAGTCGGAACCAAGGAAAGATTGATGTGGCTTTGGTGCAACGATGCCGCAGGTATTGCACGGTACAGCTGCATATTGTGATCAATTTTAAAACTCGTTTCTTCGTTTTCATGCAGGACAAAACACAAAATTATTGGAGGAAACGCACCTGTTCGGGCGGCAATGCAAACATAAAAATTACTAATTTCAACTGGCTTGATGTAATATTCCAACATGCATTTCATATTTTGCGTCAAGCTCTGCGTTAAAACACACACATCCTCACACATAAACAGCAGACAGCAAAATAATGACGTGGTGCTTGGCCGATCGATTGCTGATGTACCATCTTAGACACACACTTTGGGAGAAGGAAAAACATTCAATTACACCTTACGTTTAGGGGTTAGTCATGGCATGTTTTTTTTCCCAGAAAATAAACAGGACGTATGATGGAAAGGCAATGAGTACAACAAACTCCATAATATGAACAAACTCCCTTTCAGACGGCGAACAGCACTTGGCTACAGCGTTCCACATTACTGATGAAAGCGTTGGCCGTGCATATTGACAGACCACTTACTGTTAATGAAGGAGAGAAGATGGTATTTAATATACGATGGGGCCATTAGCTCTCAACTCAATGCAGTTACATTCTGAATGGTTGATGGTTCATGTATAGAGTCTCATCCCATTGGGTGTCATTGGAAGGATATTTACACCGCCATCTGTGGTAAGTGGCACCGTACCGCGCATCCACCGAGGATGATGCCTAACTTATGCCAACTGCAATGTATACACACTGGGATTCCAAGCCAGACGAGAGTCCGTGTTGGGAGGTAACGGTAGAGGGAGCTGTGCAGTATAACCACTAACCACTTCAAAAAATCACCAGGGTTTCTTAGCGGGGTCTGCTCGACAGTCCAAAGTAGCATTGTTAGTCCGAAAGTTCGGTAGTCCGGTAGTTCATTATAGCCTGAAAATAGAAGAACTGTTGACCGGTATACCCTTACCGACACAATGGTCAACTCGCGCGAAATCATGAACTGCAATAAGTAAGCCGATGGACGGAATCTCCTGTTAGCGGCGAGTCTTCTCAGTACTCGTGAAGTGCTTCCGTATGACCAATTGCCACCGTCCGGTTAAACACTGCTTAATAGCTTAGAAAAGAAAATAAAACTTGACGATGTCCCTCCACAAGCAAACAACTCTCCTCGGGTTGGTAGATAATCCGTAACTTATTAACAGGGCACCTCAAGTTTGAACCAAAGGCGGATCTTAAAAACACCAAGAACGACCACGCCGATAGCTTACACCTTTGTAACTGAACAAAATTCTCTTTGCAATACTCCTTTGAAGGGAGATTTATTAAGAACCTGGTAGAGTACTGGTACATTAAATCGTTTAATTACTTTCTGAATAAGTTTGTTCCCAGAAAAGTTGATTAAAATTCCTATTGACGGTGAGAAAAGTTCAAGCTGCTGGCCAGATTTTGTCTCATAAACTATGAAAGATTGCTTACATTTAAAAATGTCCTTTCAAGACGGTACCATTTTAATCCGCCGGTAACACAGCGCTTGCAAACAGCTGGTGCGCGCGTTACATGCCACTACGACCAAAAGGGTGTCATGATTTGCCAATGCACGAGCGCGTCAAGTCCAAGAATGGAAGTAGCGGTGAGACGCACTGATTTCACTATTTTTCCCCTTCCTTCTAGCGGCGTTAGACTGGCGCTTTGTATTAACGACTGTAAAATGTGTGTTAGTTTCACTACTACAAAACAACAAACATCACGGACTGATTTCTGGCTCTGCCTTTTACAGACCTCTCAATTAACAGGGAAGTCTTTTTTATTATAGCTGAATGGAATTCTGCTGACCTTCAGGGGTTGCAGGCTACCAGTGAAGGTCTGTGCCGTTATATCTACCAAATAAGTCTGGGGCTTTGTAAGCAGCAGGTCATTTTTTGGCATGAGATCCATAAGTGTTCGTCCTAGGATGACAACACTTTATTCCAGTGTCGATCTGGGCAAGGAACTTCATTTACATAGTCCGATATTTTGTTAGCAAGTTATGTTGCTACGACTTCCCGCAAAGCATGCATACCGAAGGAGAACCAGGCAAGAAATGACCTGTTCAAGTCAAGGTAACCCACGGTTGTTTGGTTTAAGTTCCTATCAAGCTTCTATAGCCACCAAAACCGGCTTCAAGTTAACTCTGCAAGGAAACAAGACCGTGTCCGAAACGGGCTTCCAGAGCTACGGCTAGGTCTATTGTCTGTGCGTCTCCACGCATTTCCAATGGAGCGAAGACCTAGACCTGGCAGACAACAGATTCGGATGCAGCCCAAATCTCCAGTGGGAAAAACCCTCAAAACAAATCGAAACCCAAAACACTGTAAACCCCACTGCAGCCCGGCAGTTCACAACACGTCCTCGTCTGTCGCAATGCTCCATTGTCATCTGTTGTTTTCCCTCTTGATCTTGACTGGCTCCTCGCAGTAGGGGCATTTCCCAAATATGGTATTGAATCCAAATTTGGACATTGTCTGGTGACTGGTTGGAAGACAGCACAGCCACTGCCAAAAAAGACATAAGAATGTTCGGTCAAGGTTCGTACATTTTGCAACTGTCTTCTGAAAAAAAGGAAACATCCGTTTCAAAATTCAAAAGAATGGGACATGCAAACAATTTAAACACAAGTAACTCTGGTAGGCAGGCCAACACTGGTGACGGAATTCCGGGCAAAAAAAGGGTTTCCATTTACCGTACTCTATACCTCAGTTAATGTAGTATAATATACCATGCTTTCTGGTAACTACAAGTTCAATAAGTATGTGTGCGTATACCCTACACACACGCGTATGATTTGTCACCATCACATCATGAACACTCTCAAAGCAACGTGAAAATGCCAACACTAAAAAGAATATTTACACAAAAATATCTTACATTATTGCCCGTTCGTTTTCTAAGCGTCCGCTGATTTCCAAGAAACTCCCGGAGGGACGGGAAACAAGTCTAGTGATCAGCGCACTTCCAACTAATGGTGGCGCTTTCTACTTTTTCCCCATTAATTTTAGTGTTTCTTGAAAAAAAAAACAATACGGTACCAACCGGACTGGGAGTCTGGATGTCAACTTGCGCAGAAAAAATGCCGAAGAACATGCTCCCAACAACTATTTGTGAGATTTTAATAGCGTTGGTGAAGGACAATCCAACACTGTATGACGTCAGAGATAAGGATCACAAAAATGCTGCCCAAATTGCACGCATATGGAAGAGAATTGCTGACCAAATTAACTACCAGGAAAGGGATGGTGAGTGTTTTCTTTGGAAAATTGTTTTTAAATGGGCTACCACCACCGGGATAGAATTAACAGTGTGTGGTCTCTGGCAAGTCCTAACGTTAAAGTTAGTGATGATTGTGTAACTTATAGTACTTCTGATTTCAGGACTGGTCCATCATGGCTATCCTGCACTACAATCATGACAGTGAACAGGTGTTGTCGAACCCCGTTGTAACTTCAGTACATGTACATGTAGCATTATTGTTATTTTGAGTTTATCATGTTAATACAATATTCTGTTTAACAGGTTTAAACTTAAAGCCAGCATTTTAATATCCCATTCCTTTGTTCTTCACTTTTGTTTCAATTCTGATGATACCAGGTAAACTGCAAAGTCCCAATGTGGTTTGACTGTATTTTTATCTCAGTCATTAGACATGTTAGGTCACTGCATGTCTACCGTACCACAGCACATCTTTACATTTAATTAAAGTCCTGTTACTCCCCAACTATAGCGTCTGTCCCAACTGTAGTCCTAGTTGCAGTGCTGCAGTCTGGCAGTTTGGCTGACCCAACTACAGTTGACCAATTTCTATGGAAAAGTTCTCAACCTTTAATTTCCAAGTTAATGCACCTCTCACTTGACACAATTCCTCTAAAATGTAGCATTTCATCTATGACATGACATTGTAAACAATACATGTCGTCCTATGACTTTGGCACATACTGGGCACATGCACACTGGACCGCTGTAGTTGGGCCAGCCTGGGACTGATGCTATAGTTGGGGCCTAGCAGTACTATTACAGCGCTACCGGCATGACCGGTATGCACTGCCTTCCAGTTGAAGTTCCACGGATTTGTGTATGCTTTTTGCCTACATGTACATGTAAATAGCCAAGTGACAAACAGGTTTTAACCACTTTCAAATAAATCAAGATACATGTATGTACCGGATTCCTGTTAGAATTTAAGGTCCTTTGAGTACAAACAGGCAAGACTGTTAACGATCAGCCCAGGTTATATGTACCTAAAAGTCCCTGATTTTTTTCCTAAACTTTCCATTTTACAGGCGATTACTGGAAAAAGCGCTGGAGAATGCTCCGTGACACCTACGTTCGCAAACGGAGAACTATCAAGACAAAGAAAAGCAGGCGAGATGCCTCACGTGCTGCCATGTGGAGGTTTTACGAGATGATGGATTTCTTAGCATCTCACACAGACCAGAATGTGTATGTCGATGAACTGATCTTTGAGTCTTTGTTGAGCAAACTAAATTTGGCTTGCTTAGTCCTTGGCCTTTTTTTTCTAAACCTGTCTTGGCAAGGCCATTTATGCCACAAATGTTCCTGAATCGTCCATAGTACTCCAATGTACACTAAACCACTAGCACAGTCTTCGGTCTTTTCAGAAATTCAGAAGTATCTAGCCTCATAGTGGATGGGCTGTACATGTACTGTACTTTTGAGTGTGGTCACCACGTCAACCACACATCTCTTGCAAGTCCCTCACAAGTTCTGCATAAGTCATTCTGTCTTTAAGCCCAGCCACAAGCCATTCAAATGAACTGAGACAAAGCATTCCTTCTGCAGTGTTTATACTTGTGAATATTTTTTTCCTGGGCTTGTGAAAGGATTTGTGGAGACTGCAATGCTGCCCCAGTCCTTCGACTTCGACTAAGCACATGAGATTTTGAAGGATTTGGGAAGGTTGAGCTCAAAGGCAGATCCAGAAAAACATTGGGAGGGGGTATGGCCAAAATATTTTGGCAGGGGCTGAAAATTGAGACTTTTAAGTTCAACTTAACCCTCCTTTGGTTTTACAGCACAAATATGCAAGGCCCAAGGTCACTCTCTTGCATGTAGGTGCAGTGCACAACACAACACAGCTGTGCCTCTTTGAGGTGTTTTCCAAGTGACCCAAAGAGTGACTTCAGCACAGGAGGGTTTTAATTGCCCTTTCAGATACATGTAGGTGTGGCTATATACAGGGCTTTTTATAAGCTTTGGGGAATATTGGTAGTAAATTTTAAAAAAATAGAAAAATCCGGTTTTCGCTATAATAAATTGCCTTTGGGGGGAGGGCTGTAGACCCCTTCCCTGATACCCCAGTGGTCAATGCTAAGCAAATTATAAAAAGTATCTAAGTCTTACTGCTTCAAAAATAAAGTACAAAGAGCAAGTATTAAAGTGACAAGTTTCAGTAGTGTGAATTGTACATGTATGTCTCTTTTCCTTTTTCAAATGAACAGGCACCTCTAGAGTTATAAGAGTTAAAACAGAAAAAGGCACAAATTTGTTTTCAGAATCACTCGCAGTAAAACAAACATTTGGTTGCAGAAATCAAGTGATGGTGTATGTGATTTTTTTCAATCCAATTCAGAGCTGGCGGCACCATCAGTGGCCAGAATGACACCGTGGTGACTCTGGAAGTTGAAGAAATCAATGACGAGGATGCTCTAGACTTAGCAAGCATTGGGTAAAAACAAACTTTCCAATCAGCCATGACACGAATGCGTCTTGTTCTTCTTTGCCCATCTGTTCAGTTGGGTATGCTTTGCCTAAAGATTCCAACCAAAAACTACTGACCAGCACCTGTAGAATGGAGAAAGAAAACCCCTGCTATGTTGTGGGTACTCTATCTGGAGCTAAATCAAAATACCTTTGGATAAGTGACTTCCATAGATAAGAAAGAAAACAAAACCAACAAGCCGAGCCCCATTCTGTGGTACATCCTTGCAAGGTGGCATCCATGTCAAGTGAGAGCTAGTAAGAGAAACGAAAATGATTCTTTGGAGTATCAGAATAACGTTGTAGTTAAGTGTCATCGCAGCCATGTGTTCCAACAATGAAACTAATGCAGTGTTTTTTGGAAAATTCTTCAATGGAATTGTTTACTAGCTGGATGCTATTTTTGGTATGTCCTTGTCAAATTACAGGCATGTAATTTGACGAAAAACGAGGAAATTTCAATCTTTGCAGACTTTGTAAAGTGTTTTTCAAGTTTCAATGGCATGAGTGTGAAGTGAAAAATGAGGAAATCAGCTGATCTGAGAAAAAGTTGCCAGCCTGAAATTAGGAGACACTCCCAGCTTCCTGAACCTTTTATAAAATGTCATCCACCATTTTAACCCTGTCCGTAGTCCCTAGGGACACCCCTTCACCACCAAAGAAGTGATGGGCTGGTCAGTGGTGGGAAAACGTTTATTTTCGCTTGTGGCAAACATGTTAACACTATTTCAACAGGAGTTGGTCAGGCATACGCAGCACCTGTGTCAAGTACTCATAAACATTGAGTAAACGAGGCAATACCCTATCATGTATGCCATTTTATTCCAGCTTGGGTGGCTACGGCAGGAAGTGAGAAATTGAATTACTTGGTTCTAGTACTTCGTTGATGATCCACATTTAGTAAAAAACCAAATTATTACTTTTATGTGCAAAACATCATATCTTTGTATTTCAGAGAAGGAAGCGACAGGATTGATCTTGTTGAGAAGTCTTCATGCACCATTCCGTTTCTGGTAAATGCTCCCTTGTCTCACAGCAAGAGGCCGTCCAGGAAAAGAAACAAAGATAGACAGGACCTTGTCGGTGCATTCCCTGACCCGTGTGGGGCAAACACAGGTGGATTAAGAGCGAGTTCACCACCCGCCAAGGATGAAGACGAAATGTTCTTTGAGATTTATGCGCGACGGTTGAAACAACTCCCACCGCACCTGAAGAGCGTTGTGCAATTCCAGATTGCGCAGCTCTTTTTCAATGCAGAAAATCCACACCTCCCCCAGCAAGCCATCATGCCCCTCCCATGAAGGAAGCTTAGCAAGACGAACAGTGGTGTAACAATGCTTCACTTGGCAAGGGGGGCTCTTTTAAGGTTTGGTGGTCTGATGTCTCCCTCCCCGGTACACAGTTGTTCATTTCTTCACAGTGCGACTTTTGAAGGACTTCATTTGGAAAGTGTGGAGGTTGAAAGTCAACTCCAGAAATACATAAACAATGTCAGAGACAATTCCTTGTTGCTATCATGTATAATGTGCAGTGAACAATAACTTTCTCAGAGCTTGGAATTTGCATGTTTTCCTAATTTGGGGCATGTGTAGGTTTTACTGTAAATTTGTCTGCATGAATGTTATAACTTTGGGCTAAATTCACTACAAAAATTATTTATTGTAAATTTGGCAAAGAGTCTTTTTGCCAGTATGTCATTTTTACACTTGGGTCTGCCTCAGGCTTTAGACTGGTTTAACATATAATGTTAAAGAGCACAGATATATGATTCAGCAACTTGAGTACGAGCACACCACTGTAAGCATCTTATTGCAATTTTTGTAAATCCAAACACTTGCCAAAGACAACTTGCTCCATGCATTGTCGGACAACCTGCTCCATGCATTGTGGAACAACCTCAATGTAATTTATTGCTTCACACTCAACAACTGAGTAGATCTGTTGGTTCATATAATGCACATTCCTCCTACCTGCAGTTTTTTATTTACGGAAAGTATTTCATTCATTGGACACAAACCTCATGATTTCCAAAGAGCAACTCATAAACTAGGGTACGTTGTAAACTTTTACCACTCTTAACGTACGTGTAACTCAAAGGTGTTGGTGTCCTACTTAAATTCATAGTTTTATGGATAAAATGAATATATGTACATGTATTGCTCTGGACAACCTGCAGGTTTCTAAATAATGTTTTACTAAATTTGGTTCTTTTCATAAAACTGTACTTACCAAATCTCATTGTTTTGACGTATTATCATGTAGCTTTATAGCTTAGATCCATGGAGAATTCCAAAATACATTCTTGGACAGAACTGCATTTTATACTCGGCATTAGCTTTTGTCTGATTTACTGCTGTGCACCACTTGTATCATCATTGTTGATAAAGACCTGTCCTGTATGCTTCCAGTACAGATTAGATTAACGTCACTGCTCTTCAATAAGACAGATTCAGGATATGGTCAACTTCAAAACTTATTCCCCCCCCCAAAAAAAACAGGCTCATTGGTAACAATGATTTGCCTTCTCATCTAATGGTAATATGTGGTGTACTTTAAAGATACATGTAGTTGGAATCAAGTGAGCGTGATTGAAGTGAGTTGGTGAACTGAAGAAATTGTGCGTGATCACAACATCCTAAGTAATGACAAAAAGGAAGTTAGAAGATTGAGTTGGAAAGCATGGACAACTTAATGATTGAGAGCTGTGTGTGTTTGCCATGACACGGATTTGCCGTATGTGTACCACTTCTCATAATGCAGTGTGCCTCCCTTGATATGCACCATTTTAATGACGGTTTAAATCCTATCGTGTTTGTTTGAAGAACTTACTGTGAGCAGTCTAAATAAGACTTGAGAAAATTGTGCAGAAAATTTGAGTGGGGACATGACATGCATGTAGCTACATATACATTTTACACATCCATATGCAAAACCAATTTGGGCAATAGATTTTGGACCAAAATGGATTTGAATTCCCTGGCCATGGGTATCAGGGGTGGGACAAGGATTTCCCCCCCCCTTATATTGGAAATAGGAAGAAAAAAAGAAATGATAAAAGAGACAAGCGGAATGAAGGTCACTCGTTTGCTTCAAAAAGCCTCAATATTGGCTCATAACTTATAAGTGCTCTTCCCCCCAGCCCAGGTTATACATGCACCTCCCTTGAAAAAACTGGTTAGGTCACCCCACCAAAAAAAGTCCTGGCAACGCCCATCTCTCTTCCTCAAATACACAATACCAAGAACAAAGACCTCGGGCCAATGTCATAGAGCTGCTTAAGCACCAAATTTGCTGAAATGCGAGAAAACCTTGCATGATAAATCAGGTTACCAGCCAAAACTCCATGTGATGTATATTATTTCGGGATTGTATTTAGCTGTCTTTTGGTTAGCATGACAATCAGAGTGTGACCTGCTAACCTTTGTTTTTTTTAGCGAGATTTTTTCACACTTCAGCAAATTTTGTGCTTGAGCAGTTCTATGAAATTGGCCCTTGGATCTACGCCTTTGCTCTTGACCTTACCTCATACAGGCAGCTGTAATGGAATGGTTTGTTGCACTGTGGATTGTCGCAGGCACGGTCTGGTATAGCGCCCTCAAGTCGGTACGAGTAGCAGATGCCACATTCTTCATTGAAATCCTGAGACAAAGCAAAATGCCTTACTATCCAATGGCACCTCATCGGGTGACATCCTTTCGAAAAATTCAGTTGCAGTCATGGTTTTTGCAGCAGCTCGTGAATCTCATTAAGTTTATGTCAGTTATCCTTTGAATGGTGCATTGTAGAACTGTGCAGTTCCAGTTGTGAATAAATTAAAGCATTTACTGAATTGGATGTGACCAACACTGCTTACCACTGGGAAGGGACCTGACAAATTGAAATGACTGGCTTCACTTCAATCTGTTGTCTGGAGCTAGATAGGCCACTGAAAATTGCAAGGATGTCGGCACGTGTGCAGACAATAAGGTCAAATCAAAAGGCAGCAAAGTACGTGTACACATACCATGTGACTGAATAGTTTCTTTGAGTTCAGGGACAACTGCAGTAGGAAACCATTTGGTTGACAACCACATGTACTTTTTATACCAGACAACAAGGCTTTTCATGTAAAAAAACTATGAATTCTTGTCAGATGGCACAATGATCATAACTTGCGCCATGCACGGTTGTGGTTAATCATGTCGATCCAGCACTATCAGCTGGCTTAGTGATTTGATCATGATTTTGTTGTCCATTAAGCTTTGAAGGTTAGCCTACTATCTGAGGACTGTACAGAGCTGTGGTCTTCGCCTACAACAATGGCGGATGCATGTTGTGTCACTTGGGTCAGTGACAGCACCCCATGGACAGACATGTAGCTCTGGAAGCCTGTTTTGGACATGAACTTACTCTGCAGAGAACATATCTGCCAGACTTGTTGCTGTGCTACAGAACTGGAGTGCATGGAGTGTGTTAAACAAATGACAAAGGGCACCGAGAACCAACCTCTCTTCTGCTGGACTGAGGTGATGGGAAGTGGATGTCTAGGAGAGCCTTTAGGTTACTAAGGAGACTCCTGCCAGGATCCCAAGCCTTGAGGTTAGCATTCAACTTCTCTCGCATAGGATTGATGACTGCTCAACAAAACAGAGATGCCAATGATGTTGTACACAAATGCAGTACACAGCACGATGGTGACTTACAGTATTCATCAACATAAAGATTAAATGATCACTACAAACTTGGCAATTACAAGTACATAAAATGAGCCGTGGCAATTTTTTTGAGAAGGGTACATGTTACTTGCTGTGAAACCTTGGCAACATGCACATTTTTCAAGATGTACAGTACTTTGCATCAAGGATATCTTTTATTTATTTCTGATGACCAACAGCGTTTACCCGCCACTTACAGGCATCCATGAGAAATAGATAAATCTCTGAAATGAATAATGTACAAATAAATAAACTTTACACATAACCATAAAAATAACAAAAATTAAAACACATCCTAAACTTAACTAAACTAGGCTAAGTCTTAAAACACCAGTACAGGGCTGAAGAAGAGTGGGACTTGCATGTACAGACAAACAGGGCTCCACAGAGAAACACAAAAGGAAGGGGGTGGGGGCAATAGAGAGGGAAGGAGGGGAAGGGCAAAAGGATAAACAGCACATGTACATGGAACATGGGGTGTGTGAACAAAGAATGGAGGCAAGGGGGATAAACCACAAAGGATAAACATTGGGGAGACTAGAGAGGGCAAAGATCAAAGGAAAGAGACTTCAAAGTTGAATAGTGGAGTTGTGAGAGCCAAATAAAGGATTAAAGGGGTGGAAAAAAAGCTGGAGTAATGGAATCACTCTAGAAAAGAATCATAGGGCTGAATAAAAGTAAAGTAAAAAAATAACTAAATGAATATAAATACATGTACTGCACATACAATCTGATAACTCCTACATACACATGACAGTTTCAGGAATGCCATACAGGTATGTACAGGTTTACTCGAGTGGCTTACTAAACTACCGGTAGTAAGCAGGAGATCGTGGGTTCGAGTCCCACCCGAGTATGCTTGTGAATTTTTTCACAAGTTCTCGGCCAAGCACCGAGTATACAGTGTTTATAATGTACATGCATCAGGTACCGGTAAGGGCAAAACCTGTAATCAAAATTAACAGGCACATTCATGATTCATCATCAAAGTTGTACAAATGTGAACGACAAGCTTAAGCTTATAATTGCCAAATTCAATGGAAATCACAATTGTTTCTTCCTCTGCTAACACTGAGCAAGCTCTAAACATCCTTTAAAACTCCAAACTTATAATGAAATTGTAACTAATTCTGGTCAATCACACAATACTCACATGTCGAAACACAAAAACACAAATCACATGAGCTAAAGAATGACAAAACGAATGCCTTTGGAGCAGTTCATTTCAGTAGTCAATGATATTAATTTCGTGTTGGGGATGTTACTATTATCACAGGTTTTGCCTACACTGTATTCTCAGTGTGGTCTGAGAGTAGCAATAATCAATGGAAGCTTACTTGGGTTGGGATTAGAAGCCACGACATCATGCTCATTAGTGCAGATGTCTTAATATCTGGATGGCTCGTCAGTTCTGAATGTGCACATTGGCAATGGTTCAATCCTTAACCCTAACAGTCCCAAATCCACGAATTTCAATACAATTTTACATACACCCTAGGGGGTTAGGGTTAAAACTTTTTTATGGGTAGAAGATGCCAAAGAAATGTTCTAATATACATCGACTGGACAAAAATTGAACAATACTTATTTGGTGGGAGAGGGGAGTAAGCCTTTGATGCTTACCATAATATAGACAAATTAAAACTGAAAGCAAGTCGGGAATATCAGTATTGCGGATAAGGCCACCACAAGTCTCTTAACAAGTCCCTTCATGAGACCATAGCTGGGTGGACAATGACCTGGGAATGCTTTTGTTTCTAGATGACTTGGGATGTGATGGCATTGCAGGGATTTGTTATGGACTCAACTAAAACAGTAATGATTACCATGATCAGCTCCAAGGAATTTAAATTCTGGAAGCATTCTTGGATAGAGAGGATCCACTGTGACTTGAATAGAAGAATTGTTGCCTGTAGAAGGAAAGTAATAACATCCAAGGCAGATTGGTAAAGTTTGACATTCTCAAACCTTTGATCTCGAGTCTGAGTAAAGTTTTTTTTTAAATTTTGAACCTTTTGAAGCTAGGGATATCATCAAAATGAATCCTCAAAGTCGAGATCACATAGACACAAGACCCCAAAGTTGAGTCTAATTTGAGTAATGAGTCAACAAACTGAGTATGAGCATCAAGAAAAAATGTACTGCAGTTTTGGTCAAGCAAAACATAATTGGTGCTTTAGAAAAGTCCATCATTCATGAAACTATTAGATTTTTTCCATATTCTTTGACAACATTTAGGATTTCATACATGCAAGTAACCTATCCTACATGGTTGGCACAAGACAAACTACTGTTGTCGTTTCCCCAAATGTCGTTCTATTATGCATGGTACTTCAAAGCAAAATTTCCTTTATATCAACAAGACAGACTTTTACTTCAGAATAAAAGTTGCTAGTACCTAGGGCAATTCTTCTGGATGTATCTGATGGCTTTGGCCTCTCCGGTTCCAGCACCCACGTCTGGTTGTCAATTTCTGCTACGGTGTCCCAGAATTCTCGGTACTTGGCCAAGCTCCCCTCAAACTGTCTGTAGATGTCGGCCAGCGTGCTCTGATGGATTGAGTGTTAAAGTAGCTGCTTCAGTGGCAGGTAGTTTGCCAAAATCTCAGGGGCCAACTTTACCGAGCAATAATATTTCTAAACAAATTAATGTGCCAAGAGAAGACAAGATTGAAACCAGAAACAGTTGCATAGAAAAAAATCTCAGTTGTATGCAAAGGTTTCTGCTGCACTTCATCAAATTTGTAGTCTCTTTAGCAGCAACACGACAATGACACTCAACTCAGAACTATTCCAATTATTTGACAGTGAACCAAATGCTCCCCTTCAAATGCTAGCTGGGCAAGGAGTCAAGAAATCTTAATCATAGTTGACACGGATACCTTTTTTTCAAGGAAAAGTGTTCTTAAATGTTTTCATTCCAGTTGCCTGTTCATTTCTACTACCTGACTTCTTAAACCCTACCCTACCTTCTTAAACCTGGATCCCGTATAACCCTCTGGAGTCAGAACCCCACGGTTTGACACAACTACGTCCAGTATGTATGGTGCAATGGATTTCGGAGGTCCAACAATCTGCAAAACGTCTTCATTGATGCATGTGTATGCGGTGCTGGTCCCCATTAGGTCCAATGCACAATATAAATGTGTAGTTGGTACTTTGTCTGTGACCACATCAGTCATAAAATAAATCTGTGATTGGTACTCTGTCAGCAATGGAATTGCATTCTTTCTCATTCGTGTGCATGACCACGTCATCTTGACAATTTGACAACTCCGTAAAATATTACAAATTATCTCTAGCTTTAAGGTGGTTTCAGATTTGTGTTTTTGTTTGTTTAGTTGGGTCTGTGTTTCTTTTAAAGTTTACGGTTCATCAGTTCTGAGTCTTAATAAAGCAAAATACACTCTGAAAGGTTTTCCAAGGTCAGTGTTCCAAGTCATCGCGTTTGATAAGGGTAGTAAAACCAAACCATTTAACAGACAGGTTATCGTAGAGCAATATTGAACACTAAGCATTCATGGAGAGTTGGGCTCCACATTGACAAGAAAGTAAAGCATGGGCATGGCAATCAACCATTTCTATGTACCATAACAGTTTCATGAGAATGGAATTGGAAAAGGATCATAAACAAAGAAGGGTAGGTTTTCCACTGACATTCCCCTCGAGCAGATGCACCCCCTCATCATCGGTTGAAAAGAGCTGCGTTGGTTGGGAGTGCTCAATTTGTTAGTAGTGATGTGACCATGGCGCATGGATTTCCTAGTCATTCGTGAACCAGCAAAGTTCAGTTCTGACCAAAGAAGCCTCAGCTGCTAAGAAAATAGCGCCCTCTGTTGGTCCAGCTCAAGGCCCGAAATGCACACAAAAATAGTCCCAAGTGCGTTAATATTGCATATCAGTGATCTTCCTTCCATTGTTCAAAGCAGGATTGGGATCCAGTGCAAATTTGGTATAAAGAGGTGGTACAGACCTTGTTGATATACTTGAAATTTGAACCAAATTTAAGAGTAAATGACTCTTTTTGTTCGCAAGTACCTGATGTGTCCAGAGTAATTCAAAGGTCTCTCCTGGTAAGTCTGTTGAACATGTTGGTGCGACAATTGGATGCTGCAATGGAGATTAAGCAACACATGAAGGAAACACACGTATTGGCTCATACAAGTAACATTTCAAAGACAAGCTATTTTAACAAAGCGCCCAACTTGACAGTTTTGTTACTTTCAAAATATAAGCAGAGATAGGGTCAGTTGTAAGGTCACATAGTGTCACTATGCCATTATAATCACACGAATATTCTGAACTTAGCAGTACATATTCAGGAGTAGATTTGTAAAGGTGTTGCAGAAAGCAAACAGTGAATGTGCTGAATTCATGTAATGGAAACTATGATTTCATTCAGAAACGGGTGCAATGATTGATTCCATTCAGTTCCACCTCATGGAATGGAACCTTCCATCTGTCTCCAAACAGAATTAGTACCATCACACTCATAAGGGGTCTTTAATTGTATGGCCTACCTGGGCATCTAGGTGTACTGTGATGTAATGCTTACTGCCTCCAGGCCCTTGACAGATCAACTGAAGACTGCTGAAAGATGAGTCAATGGAAGAGAGCTTCTCCCAACCCAGACGCGCCACATCGTGAATCACCTGGGAGCATCGTGTTGCCATGGTAACGCCGGGCTGGGCTTTGCTGGCTTCGCTGTGATGTTCCATTGTATGTTCCTGTTCATGGAAAGGTAATGCTTAATTAACCCTGACCCCCCCAAGGGTTGTTGGCCCTAACCTTCCCCATTCACACAAAGTTAAACANCAAACCCAATGCAAAAGCCAGTTGTTATGGGCCTACCAGACCTATCCCCACAGAATTAAACACTTTACTACTGTTTAATTCTGTGTGGTTGGAGAAGGTTAGGGTTAAGCTACTACCAGTTAACACAGGCTTAATGCCCCTTTAACCAACCTCACACTGGATGACGTGTAGATACAGGGATTTCCTGTGTCTATAAGCATGAGGACATGTCATCATAACAGATTGTGGATGCAGCTCTGGGTGATGTCAGGAGTACACACTTGTCCCTACGCTTGACTGATTCCCATTTCCACACGAGGGCTTAAACTAGTCAGTGGAGGTGGCGCATGTGTGCAGTTGTGCAACAATGTGCCATGGCTTGGATTTGGGATAAATCCTATTTAACGAAATTGTGTTGGTGTTGGAAATCATGAACATGTAGAATGCTGCGAAAAATTTTGCATAAAGCTTGAACAAATGCGTCACATTTACTTCGGTAAAATGAAATAACCAACATCAGGAAGTACTATTACTAGTACTATCTCCACCGAACAAGAATTTACTGTGAGAAACGGGACAGTTCATGCTTCTTTCAAAGTATTTATTTACGAAATAAATTTACGAAATCGGTTTGCTTGATTTTCCCTGTAATATGTGCTGTCTCAACCCACTTACTAGGATATTCTTGAGCTCGCTTAAAAAAGTGGCCAGGTCTGGCGTGTTCAATAATCGTTGGCCAATGAGGTGACGGTAACTACGGAGATGCTGATTCAGCGACCAATCACCAAACAATCTTGCTTTCCGGTGGTCTCCATCTTTGGGCAATTCAATCCTGAGATGAAGCTCGTTTCCCTTCAAATGGACAAAATCAATCAACATGAAATTTCAAGCACAATATCAATTTACAAAGGTTAAGATTAGATTGGAAACATTACCTCAGGAATTTGTGCAAGGGTGAGTTCCACCATCTATATGCTCTATATACCTAAAACAATCTACCTACGCAATTGCCATTGCCTCTTTGCCTGCATAAATATGAGAAGTGGCTGAGAATGCCAGCCAGTCAGGTGGTCATGCCATTTTTTTTCATGGGCACTGTTTGTAATTTACAGATCCAGCCACAACAGTCACCCAGTCAAACTTTTTAATGTTCAGTTTTTAAAGTTTTTTTGAAATTCCACGAAACTAGTAAGGATAGAGCCCACATGAATGAAAGGCTATCAATCACACTGAGAAAGACTTGAATCAGGGATTTTTGCGGGCCATGCTACATGTATTTAGTGTCAACTTGCATCAAAAAGTGTCAACAAGGCATCAACAAGCTATTCAAGCATATTTATGCAAAAAAATTATATGAACAAAATTAACTGGACATATTGCATTCACTATATCACATATATCTAAAATGATATTTGAGTTTGGAAATTGAGTAACAAAGTCGGTTGTGCTCATGCACCCAAACTGGCCACCATCTTGTTTTTGAGTGGACGCGTTGACAGCAGAGAAAAGAAAGATGGCGGCCGTCTGATATCGCGAAAAATGTTCTTTTTCCTGTGTGAATCTGGAATAAAATTCCCTGTTTTCAGTGGAACATGTTAGAGTCTGTAAAATACGATAAAACCACTTTGAAACCTTTTGAGGATATTTTTAAGTTGCTGACACTTCGTTGACACTACTTACATGGATATGTATTGGCATTTGTTGACAACAAATTCGCTAAATAGCACGACTTGCAGCCTGAAATACCCATATACATGGAAATTACAAAGCATTAACAGAAGCCACATCCCATGAATGTGACTATAAAAGTCAGCCAGAGCCAAGACTTGTAAGTTGTGTGGATCCTCACTTTGTACCAGACTCTGCAAATTTAAATTTGCCACAAAACTACATAAGGCATTCCGTTACTTTCATCCTCACCTTGACACAAATCAATCCTTCCCAGCATGTCTGTTGTTGGTTGAGGGGTACCAACCTGGGACAGATTTCAAACACTTCTCGGCTCTGTTTTTGTGCTGCCATAATGCACTTTGCTGCTTCACCTAGGCCTACTTGGGAAAAGAAAACAGCTACATTGTACATGTAAGTATGAGTCTAGTACTAGTAGGCCTAACTATCATTAGCGGTAGTTCTCTATTATCACGGTATCGCCGTCGGAAATATTGAATTTTGCGTTGTTAGTGAGATCCCAATCGGCAATATTCGCCTAGGTAATCAATAAATTATGGCGCAACGATAGTTTTTACGAAAACAGAGCACTTGAAAGATGGGAGTTTTCCAAATTTGTAAATTTTCTTTTACCTCTTTACCGTGTCTGTCATTACCTACCGTCTCTCTCTTTAATACTAATATCTAAAGCAACCCTGCCCCTGGATATCTGTTGCTGGGTTCCCCGAGACGTCCACCAGGCCACAGGTGTCTAAAGGCACTTTTTAGGTCGGAGTCAAAATTAAAGATTATGTAGCGCTGCGTAGCGGCGCCAGATGAGTAATTCGGCCATACAGGTGTTATCACCATAGGCGCCATTCGAGTGTGAACGTTCATGTGTATACGACATTTTACGCGTATTCATGGTGAAGTTCCCCATGTTGCGCCGCTAGGCGGCGCTATACGATCTTTGGTCAAAATAAGCGGTCATGCTATATTTAGTGTCAACAAGCGTCAACACACAAGTAGCATCAACCACGGAGGAATAAAACACCAACAAAGTATCAACAACTTGACAATACCCTCTACAGATATAAAAGTAGTTTTATCATACTTCGAAGTCTCTAACACTTGCCACTGTGTGAGAGAAACATCGAATTTGCTTGCAGATTCTCGCAGGAAATCGAAAATGTTTGGCGCTTGATGGGGCCGCCATCTTTCTTTCCTCTGCTATGCATCAACGCGAAAACAAGATGACGGCCGGTACACACGGGCCCGACTTTATCACTCAAATTTCAACACTCAGATATCAATTTAGATAGATATGGAACAGTGAATTTAATATGTATGAGCCTTATCAAGATTGTAAATAAAAATCCTAGCTTAAACATGCTAAGTAGCATGCGCTGAAACCTCTTGCGTGCGTAAAGTGCGCCCCCAATCCCATTACAATAGACTTGTGTCAATCGTACTTTTACCCTTCGGGGCAATTGATAACGAATAATAATACGTCGGCATTATTGTCTCATTTTTTTCTCTTCCTACACAACTTGAAGAATTTTTTAATGGATGTTTAGATTTTTTCCATTAAATAGCCCAGGTCCAATGATGTCGTTATAACTCCCAGAGAATTATAACTTAGAAAGCTGACACTCATAACGATAGTTTCAGATATCCATAAAAGAATGAGTTCACCAAAAAAAATTGAAATTTGTGACACCCAAATATTTATTTTTCCTTCGGCAAACACCAATTTAAGCAATAATTTGAATGTCAAAGTTGTTGCTGCAGTTAAAATTGGAGTAAAAAAATTCTGGTGAACAAAACTGAAGTTATTTCATGCCAGATAAATAAGTGTGAGGTGACACACTGCAGTTATTCCCATCGCGGTCTTTCCGTGAAGGGCATCTTTAAGGAGATAACTGAAAAATGGAGTAAATTACAGGTAAAATGGAACTTTATTACAAGGTAAGGTTATTTGGTTTCCTCTGAAAACGAAACCATTCTGTTTACCCTCATCAACCTTTTTAAATTTAAGGCTCTGTGTGTACTTTGTTGTATTTATATAATTGTAGCCTCTCTTTGGTCATGGTCATACGTGTGTAGGGGCCAGAACAGGACATGGCAGACAAATCGTTGTGTCTCCACTGAAGTCACGCTCCCCTTTGCAGGACCAGGACGATCTTGCAGGTCATAGTTCGCGCTTTCCCTTAGATTGGGACAGCGATTCAGGGCCAGATTCACGCCTCCCGTTATGGGGCAGTGATTAGCCACAGCTCAGGCAACAGGAAAGGGAGCCTCTCCAAACAGCGCACTCTAGATCCCAGCAGGAGGCAACACGGGGATTTTCACTCCAACAGATGACAATTCTGAATAAGATGCAGCAGAACCAGACATTCAAGGGCTTGCTGGAGAAAGCTTTCGATAATATAGATAAACTGGGTTTTCTAGGTCTCTATATAAAAGGGGTTCCTAAAGCCCGCAGAGAAAGGCTGAGGTCCAGGGGTATCCTTACTTCAAATCTTCCTCCAGTAGACGAAGTTCGTCTGGCTGGTCTTCAAGGTCATCGGGTTCGGTGTCTCCCGCATCTACACTGACAAAGAAGACGGGTTAGCGCAAGTGGTACAGTGAAAGATGATGCAGTCTCTATGTACGCTGAGAGCATTCATAGCTCTGACCATGAGGAAGCTGACAGTACAAAGGCCCATAAGAGGGCACGGGTACCAAAGATCAAGATGAGGCTTGTCCTCTTCTGAGCTACTCTGTTCCTTGCAATCGGCTGGCTGCTTAGAGAACTGCAGTGCTGGTTGTAGCTGTACCCGTAAGTGAAACGACTTACCGGGAGACATTAAGTTAGTAGTCGGCTTACGTTTACGAGGAACTCCATCCAAGGGGCGGCAACATTGTTTGGGATTATTTGGTGGATGTAAAATAAGTAGTGCCCGTAATTTGCACCTGTATAGGAGTCCCGACCTGTATAGGGGATATCAAGAGCCTTTTGAGGTTACTTTATTGTAACACCTGGTGATGTCGTCAATAACACAGAGTCAAATAACTAGACGTGTCAGTCCCTGCTTGTGGTGCCCCCTGAGCCCGACCTTTTCCCCTCCCTGGTGCGCGCTTGTGCTGTTCTCCCGCTGCGTCTGGCGGTAGACTACCAAAAAACGGGCCTGCTCCGTCCCTTGGCTGCCTCAGAGAATTGACTGCTTGCTGACGTCGGTAGAGGACGACTCGGGGGTTGTTTCGGCACAAACGCCACAGTGTAGTGTACATTTAGAGTACGTGTACACGCATGTGCCAAGCGCCGGTGCGGCATAACTCGTTATCCATTTTTTCGTAGTGCTTGCTTTGTTATCAAGTTTTCTTGCGTGCATTCAGTGCGCTATCAGTGCCATGCCATATTAAGGCCAAACATCGGTTCGGTTCAGTTTGAAAGTGCCATGTTCGATGATGTTTGGTTCGGTTCGGCAGTTCAGCTGCAGCACTAGGTACATCATGTGTAAGGTATCAAACATTAGGATAAAAAGACAAACATTTAGTCAGAGCCAACGTCGGACACCCAATGACCTTGCCCCCATCTCAGTTCGAGTAACTGAGACCCCGAGATAAGAATTGCCTCTTTTGACATTTGGACATGGTAAGGCAATACATCTAACCAACATGACCAAGTGCATGGCCAAATTCGCTTTGCCTCTTCTATGCCCATCATGTATGTAATGCATTATTGCATCTGATGAAGTAGCTGTAGCTACGAAAGCTTATGCAGAGATTTACTTTAATAGTTAGTCATTGAAGTGCTACTGATCCTTTATATTTGTAATGAAAATTAAAGAAAAGACATGAATAAATACTACTACTACCACTACTACTATTAATAAGAATAATAAATAGTGAAATTCAGAGGCAATTCGTAGTACTTCTAGTAGTAGTACGCCCGACTCTGATATATCCAAATGGACTAGCTGCCTACCTCTTTCAAATAGTAAAAGAGGCAATTTGAAGTGGGCCTATCGCTCGATCGTGTCCAAATATTACACACATGACATATGGGGAGATTCGTAGGTCCGTCCTTAGTCCGTAACATCCACGAACTTATTAGGCCTTTGTCTCATGTTGATGACGCGGGGTGGGAGGATCGACGGCTTAGTTGGTCATGATGGTGTTTAGAATAGAGATGCACTTGTAGACACTGAATGCTCTCTTGTAGACTAACAGAAACCGAGGAAGCGTCCAACCAGGCTTGTAGAACTGTACTAAAGTGACGTAAAAAGCGGATCAGTCAAACGTTAGTACTAGGCCTGCATGTATTTTGTACAGCTGTTGTTTTTATAAAACGAGGTGCCATCGCGAAATTTACGTTCTTTCGTTTACGTGTTTTCGTCTAACCGTTCTTTCGCGGTTTGTCAGCGTTCTTGCCGATCAGCCTGTCGTTGTCAAGGAGCGCGAGAATCCGCGGATTGCATCCGCAGAGTGCGCTCACGCGTGGCATAGTTAATGCGGGGCTGGCTGTGCGCCTCTGTCATGGCAACAATGGGTGCAATAAAACACGACCAACCTTATGAATGCGGACGGAAGGACGCAGAATGTCCGTCCCTTCATTAAATACAGAATGGAAAAAGTTTGGATACATTGGTCGTGCATTTTATTCAGGAATAGGCATTCTTTGATCAAGATGTGTCAACTTTCGTTCGTTTTGCAAAGTGTGCATGAAAACAATAAACCATTCATGAGCAAATCGTGTTGAGTTGAGCTCCTGTAACGACGTAGAAGGTACGAACGCATGCATGAGAATTCCACCAATGACCCTTTTCATGGTACGATACTTCCTACCTTGATATAAAATTTTGATATCCAAAAGTAAAAATT